CTGATCTCTGGGGAGGTCCCAGTCCCATAGCAAACGATCAGCACAACCTCTACCAGCTTTCATGGGAGCCTCTGGCTTTGAACAGCCCCGCTCCTAGGGATGCTGCGACGACCCCTTCCTCACATATGCTGCCGTTGGAGCCACTGCTGCACACCCCCTCCCCCAAGGCAGTGTGGGTATTTATTGACCTTGTCCTCTGACTCACTGACAGACTCCGGGACCCACGTTTTGGATGCACTGAGACTCTACATTCCTCGGTATTTATTGTCTGTCCCCACCTATAAACCCACCCCCGTCCCTTGCGAATAAAATACTTTTTGGTCTGCCCTAAGCTCCGCGAAGTCTCTGCTGTGGAGAGGAAGCCCCCGGTAGGCCAATAGAGAGGGCCGTAGACACAACCAATAGCTTGATTCGGAGCTAGTGGGACGCAAAGCGAACGAATCGGGATGAAGGGCGGAGCTTAGGCATCCAGCCAGTAGAAGAGGAGCAACAAGCCACCCGAGACACCCCCGCCCCCGCCCAGCTGTGACCCAGCTGTGCTACTCAAGCTTGGAAAAGTAGGGGGCTGGGCCAGCAGGGCGCCCACTGCCATTCTCCCACCGCGCCTGCGCACGCCACGCGCATCCGCTCCTAAGACCGACGCTTCAGAAAAGTTGCTGAAAACTTTCTAGCGCTTTTCTCCTGCCCCTCCTCCCTGCCAGATCCGCCCCCCTCCCCGCGGGGCCGGGAATTCCGAGGGGCGGAGCGGGGCGCGGAGATAGGGAGAGGGCCTTCTAGGGACCCGGGAGATCGAAGCGGCTTCGCGCCCTTAACCTTGCTGGACGGCCCACTACCTTCTCCGTTGCCCTGATGGGGAAACTGAGGCCCTGAGCCAGAGGCACACGCAGGGGAAGGCCGAAAGCGCGGCCAGAGGCGCGGGGAAAACAAAGAATTCCGACAGCCAGGGAGGGGGGCGGACACACAGGGACAGAGACAGACCCGAGTGCAGAGCTGAGTCTAGCCTTTGGGCCGGGAGAGGGCCAGAAGACCGCGAGGGGACGGAGGAGGCGAGGACGACTGAGCGGGGGAGGGGGCTGGGGAAGCCCGCAGGAGGCGGCAGAGGAGGGAGGAACTTCCCAAAGTTGCCAAACATGGCTACCTCGCCTGCCGAGCCGAGCGCGGGGCCGGCAGCCGGGGGGGAGGCAGCAGCTGCGACCGAGGAAGAGGAGGAGGAAGCGCGCCAGCTTCTGCAGACTCTGCAGGAGGCCGAGGGGGAGGCGGCAGCGGCCGAGGGGGAGGCGGCGGCGGCCGGGGCGGGCGAGGCGGCGGCGGCAGATTCCGGGTCCCCGGGCGCCCCGGCGTCTCCCTCCGAGACCGCGGCCGAGGAGCCCACGGGCCTCCGCTTCTCGCCCGAGCAGGTGGCGTGTGTGTGCGAGGCGCTGCTGCAGGCTGGCCACGCCGGCCGCTTGAGCCGCTTCCTGGGCGCGCTGCCCCCGGCCGAGCGCCTACGTGGCAGCGACCCGGTGCTGCGCGCGCGGGCCCTAGTGGCCTTTCAGCGGGGTGAATACGCCGAGCTCTACCGGCTCCTAGAGAGCCGCCCTTTCCCCGCCGCCCACCACGCCTTCCTGCAGGACCTCTACCTGCGCGCGCGCTACCACGAGGCCGAGCGGGCCCGAGGCCGTGCCCTGGGCGCAGTGGACAAATACCGGCTGCGCAAGAAGTTCCCTCTGCCCAAGACCATCTGGGACGGCGAGGAGACCGTCTACTGCTTCAAGGAGCGCTCGCGCGCGGCGCTCAAGGCCTGCTACCGCGGCAACCGCTATCCCACGCCAGACGAGAAGCGCCGCCTGGCCACGCTCACCGGCCTCTCGCTCACACAGGTCAGCAACTGGTTCAAGAACAGGCGACAGCGCGACCGAACTGGGACCGGCGGCGGAGCGCCCTGCAAAAGGTGAGGGGACCGGCCTTCCTCGGTTCCCGCTGGAGTCTGCGCGCCTGACCCTTGGTACCCCTCGGCGTTGGCGAGCGCACGGGCTGAGCGCAGAGAGAATCAGGCACACCCTGGGTTCTCTGGGCATCGCTGCCCCAGGGAGCTGAGGTTCTGGCCGCTGTTTCTAGGTTGGGGCTGCAGTTCAGGGAGCAATGAGAAAAGGGAGGAGGGTCCCCTAGAGGGGTGATGGTAAGGGTAAGGAGGCCTTTGTCTAAGGCACCTAGGGCGAGTGACCATTACTTACACCCACCCCCACGCCCCCTCCGGCCCAAACAGCGTGGTCTGTTGCCTGCCTTTGTTGTGAAACGTGAACCTTCTCAGGCTCCGGTTTCTCTTGTAACCCAAGCCCTTCTCCTCCTTCTCCTCCCACCCCAGCGCCAGGCCTCTTGCTACGGTCTCTGACGCCCCAGGGGAGGGAAGGGGGAAGAACTGGAGTAAAGGCTGCTTCCTCGCTCTGCTGCCACGCGCCTGCTGACCCAGGGGACTTGGGGCGGACTGGGTGCTCGGCTGCAAGCCAAAGGACTAGGGAAAGCTTCCCTCCGGCTTTACATTCCCGCCATGCTGTCAACCCCAGCAGGGTTTGTGGAGGCTCTGGGGTCCGTGCGGGTCCTCTGAAGGGCTCAAAGAGTTAACAGGAGTTTGGATTGCCTCTGCCTCTAGGGCAGTGCAGCCTTCAGACCTGAGACTTAACCCTTTTTCCTGCCAGTGAGTCCGATGGGAACCCCACTACTGAGGATGAGTCCGAGTCCAGCCGAAGTCCGGAGGACCTGGAGAGGAGTGTGGCCCCCGTGGCTGCTGAGGCCCCCACCCAGAATTCTATCTTCCTAGCGGGGGCCACCCCTCCTGCGACGTGCCCCGCCTCCTCCTCTATCCTAGTGAATGGCAGTTTCCTGGCAGCCAGCAGCCCCCCAGCAGTGCTCCTCAATGGCAGCCCAGTCATCATCAATAGCTTGGCTCTAGGAGAGGCTTCCAGCCTGGGGCCACTGCTGCTCACAGGAGGCGGGGGCGCGCCGCCACCACAACCCAGCCCCCAGGGAGCCAATGAGGCCAAGACTTCCCTGGTCCTGGACCCTCAGACAGGAGAGGTTAGATTGGAAGAGGCTTCGTCTGAGGCTCCTGACACCAAAGGGGTTCAGGGAGCTGTTCCTGGGGCAGCTGGAGAGGAAGTCCCAGGGACCCTGCCCCAAGTAGTCCCTGGTCCCCCACCCACCTCCACCTTCTCTCTGACCCCAGGAGCTGTGTCCTCAGTGGCTGCTCCGCAGGTTGTACCACTCTCCCCCTCTTCTGGGTACCCTACAGGCCTGAGCCCCTCCTCCCCACTGCTGAACCTGCCTCAGGTGGTACCCACTTCCCAGGTGGTGACCCTGCCCCAGGCTGTGGGGCCACTCCAGCTGTTGGCAGCTGGGCCAGGCAGCCCTGTGAAGGTGGCAGCTCCAGCGGGGCCTGGCAATGTGCACCTGATAAACTCTGGTGTGGGAGTGACTGCACTGCAACTTCCCTCAGCCGCCACCCCAGGTACCCTCCTGCTTTCCTCGGGCCTGCTGGGCTGGGGGAGCCCGCGTTCTGCTTCTGGTACATCTCTTGGGGTTAAGCCTACTGGTTCCTCTGCCTGCTCTCCAGCATCTTGCCCTCCATCTCTTCTCTCCACAGGAAACTTCCTCCTGGCCAACCCTGTGTCTGGCAGCCCCATTGTCACTGGGGTAGCTGTGCAGCAGGGCAAGATCATCCTTACTGCTACCTTTCCCACCAGCATGCTCGTTTCCCAAGTCCTGCCACCTGCCCCCAGCCTAGCCCTGCCCCTGAAGCAAGAGCCAGCCATCACAGTGCCTGAAGGAGCCCTCCCAGTGACCCCCGGCCCCACCCTCCCTGAGGGTCACACTCTGGGGCCAGTCTCTACTCAGCCACTGCCACCTGCTCCTGCTGTCACCTCTGCCACCAGCCTGCCTTTCTCCCCGGACTCCTCTGGCCTGCTGCCTAGCTTCCCAGCACCCCTGACTGAGGGTCTGATGTTGTCGCCTGCAGCTGTGCCAGTCTGGCCAGCAGGGCTGGAACTGAGCACAGGGGTGGAGGGGCTGGGGACACAGGCCACCCACACTGTGCTGAGATTGCCAGACCCTGACTCCCAGGGGCTGCTCCTGGGGACCACAGCAGGGCCTGAGGTTAATGAGGGGCTAGAAGCTGAGGCCAAGGTCCTGACCCAGTTGCAGTCAGTGCCTGTGGAGGAGCCCTTGGAACTGTGATTGCTTGGACTTTTCACCTCTCCTGACAATGGTGCTCAAGGTGCTAGGACAGAAGGAGGAACTCTCAGTAAAGTGGCTGCAGTCTGAAGGTCCCACACTACAACCCTCCACGCTGGACGAGCTGCAAGCCCTGGAGAAGCCAGAGGAACCACCCCAGTCAGGGCACTGTCCCTTGCCTGATGGGAAGTCTTTTGTTACAGCCCTCTTTGCATGGGGCTCTAGGGGTCCTGACTAAGGCTTTGTCCTCTACTTGGTACTAGCTGAGGAAGGCCCTGCTAAGTGGCTGGTTTCCAGCCAGCACCCTCACCATAACACTATTAATAGGTCCACAGATACCTAGTGCTCCCAGAACTCCCTGAATCCCAGGGATGGGAGACCAGGGTGTGACCCAGAGAGCCCTTCTGCTGAGGAGGGTCTGATGGGTGCACGGGACCCTTCCCCTACTTCCCTTGACTTGAGCCCCAGGATCCAGTCCCAGACCAAAGATTTCCCCCCTGCCCACTGGGGCAACCCTGGCCTCTTTGTCTAGTTTGTATCGTAAATCTTTATTTTTCTAGGACATGTTATGCCTCCATTTCAATTAAAGTCAAGTTAACAGACAACAGAGCCATTGGGGTAAGGGTCACCTGCCAAACAACCAGCCCAAGAAAGAACTAGACAACACGAAGCCTGAGGTTGTGGCTTGCTTTTTTTGTTTGGGTTCTTTTTGAGATGGGGTCATGTTCTATAGTCCAGGCTGACCTCAAATCCTATCTTTCTGCCTCAACCTCCTGAATGTTGGAATTATAGACATGGGTCATCACATCCCAAGCCTGGGTTTTCAAGGTAAAGAAGTTCATACCTGTGGAATTCAAATTTCAGAAGCAAAGGGATTCTGGATACAGCATTGCTTCTCCCCTGCTCTTAAGAAGGGCTCCACTTCATTTTAGGACAGCTAGAGTAGGGAAGTGTGCAATGAGAACAAATGGGGCTGAAGCATTTCATCTGGACACCCATCCTTTAAGAACAGGTGGGAAAGGCACACAAGGCAGAACACAAAGCCTTGGGTCATTAAATACACTTCCTCTCTGGTGCTGGGGGTGGGGGGCTGGGCAGGGGACCATCAGCAGTGGCAGCTGAGGCCCAAAGGGAACAAACATTGGGGGACCTGGGAGCTAAGCAGATGGCAGACCCAGCAGGGGCTGCCCCTCTCACTGGCAGTGAGGGGAGGGCAGTAAAGCCAGGGCCCAAGGCACTTGGGCCCTGTCAGCCAGCAGCTGGTAGAAGGGCTTAGGGGTCTCCCCATCGTCGTCCTCACTGCTGGAGCTCTCCCGCTTCACAATGCGGTTGTGCTGGCGGCTGAACCTGCGTGCCTTAGTGCTGGGGACAGATGGAGGTTCCTCATTCTTGGCTCCTTGGTTCCTGCACAGCCCTCTGCCCCCAGCACTGACCAAACCTAGGTTTCAGGGAGCCAGAACACTCTTTGATCCCATGGGGCCAATCTGTCTTTGGAGTGCCAGGTTCTGACATCTAAATTGGACCCTGCTGGGTGCTCTTCACAAACAGGATTTCGAATAGTTTGGAAATGGGCAAGAGGAAGCCCTTGAAGTTGGTGGAAGGGATAGAATTGAGGAAGGATGGCTAAGGCGAGAGAGAAAAGGCCAAGTGACAGGAAAATAACTGAGATGCTCTATGTGGCAAAGCTCAAATGGGAGGCAGCATGTCCAAGAACAGCAAAATTCATTCTCTTTCCAGCTGCAGGTGACACTCTACCTGTCACCTCCCAGGTCATAAAACGTGTGACCCAAGGGCCTGGAGATAATCCATGAGTAAGCACTTGCTCTGGGCCGTGAGTTTGAGTTGCCAGTATCCACATAAAGAGCTGAACCAAAAGCTTGCTGTCAAGGCATCCTGGCTGTAAAGGTCAGTTCCCCATTAAATGGGAGGCCTTACCTCAAGGCAACAAGGCAAAAAGCAAGAGAAAGACACCCGATATCCTGTTCTGGCCTCTGCATGCGTGCACATACCACACATGCACGTGCATGCAGCACACATATACAAAGAAAAGGAATCTGTGTTTCACAAGTCCTCAGCCCAGGAAAGCCCCAACCTGTTAGTAAAGTCATGAGGCTCTGAGTGAGGGATGAGAGTCACAGGTTGGGGCCCTTGATTCCCCCCACACCCTCTTGAAGGTACTTCTCACCAGTATGGTCTCCTTTCCTCCAGAGTCATCTCTCGCCACAGTTGAGCCAGGTCCTTAGTGGCAGCTGTGGATGCAGTCCCAGGACAGGCTCTGGGACAGGAAGGAGGAGGTCACAATGGCCACACCATGGTCCTTGGCCATCTTTCCTCTCCCACCAGCCTTCCAGTGTCCCATTTCACCCTCTGAAGACACAGATTTCCCCAAAAGCAAATGACCTGTAGCCACCACTTCACAGGCTCTCTCTACCACCCACAAACCCGTTCTTCCAGCAAAGCTCAGCCACCAGTGACAGGTCCAGGACTGGCACCTGATCTAAGTCAACCCCAAGGATGTTTAGAGATGAGATTTCTAGGGCATCTGGCAGGACTGAGCCTGAACCTCCTGAGGACAACCTGCTCCCAGTGTGGCCCAGCATGTTGGAGATAACAGCTCAGGAGAGAGGGACAAGACTGATGCAGCCCAGAACCAAAGTTTTCTTGATGGTGACAGAAGCCAATTAATTTCCTTTTCTCTGGTGTCTCAAGTTTGAGCTTGGGTCTGCTGCATGGCAGTGGGGCCACATGGTCTTAGGGTACACATGGGGATGGTAACCTCTTTATACCATTAAAAACCCGGGTGCCCTCACCCACCGGATGTAATGCTTCCGGTTCATCCTGCAGAACATGATGAAGCCATTAACACACTTTTTCTTCACCTGGCCAGGGCAGGCCTTTCTGCTCTCCTTGAGCTTCCCAGAGCCCTGGCTTGCTTGGACCTTCTTGGTCTTCTTGCCAGCTACTGGCAGGCCAGAAGACTGTCGGGTAGGTGTCCATGTGTCGTCTCTGTCCTCATCACTGGGGGTCTGTACGCCCACAGGGTTGGCCTGCTGCAGGACAGAAGACTGAGCAAGGGAGAAGACCCCTGTCCTCCCTGGGTGGATGGCCACCCCTCTCACCTCCTGTCCCGACAGGGACTCAGTGTCTGTGGACTCTGAACTGGAGCTGCAGCTAGACAGCACCTTGGTGTTCTCACTCAGCGGCAGGTAGCAGTGGTCCAGTGAGACTGAGGACTGGAAGTTAGGTGGGGCTGTGGGTGTGTCCTGGACCTGATGAGGAAAACACTGACTATGGGATTCACAGAGAAACACGCTTGTCTATGTCCACACCCCTGGAAACTCAGGAACCTCAACTCAAAGGTCTCAAGCAGAGCCTCGTGACATCACTTCACACATGAGGAAACAGACTAGAACAGGGACATAGGATGTCTCAGCTGGAGGACACAGGTGTCCCCTCCCACCTGCGTGGCCTCAGCACCGTCCTTACTGACTGATTTTCCCTCCCTCCTGCTCCCTCCTGTGCTGAACTGGAGGCGAAAACAAAACTGGGTGACATCTGTAGAGTTTTTCTTCATGAACTCCAGAACATGAGGCCTGTGATGAGACTACCCACTGGAGTAAACTCCATGCTCGAAGAATTAAGATTTATTTGGCCATAAAAATTGGTACACCCCTGTAATCCAATCTCTCTGAAGGTTGAGGCAGGAGTATTGATTTTGAGGCCAGTCTAGGATCCAAGAGCCCCTGTGTCATGCACAGGGACACATTAAACAAGCTCATACTAAGCATCGTGGCTCCTCCATGAGTGGTAAATCCCTGAAGGTGAGAGAAGTGTCCTGTCCCCACCCTGCTTGGGGAGTAGCCGTGATCTTAGCAGGCCTCTCTCAGGCTCCTCATGGGCAGCGGTAAGCTCAAAGGAGGATGGTGAGGACAGATTTGGTAATTCTTGGAAGGATGGAAGTGTGGGATGCTCATTAAGGGAGTCAAGCCAGGAAGATGGAACTTACCTTCTCTTGGGGGTCCTCCAGTTCACAGGCAGCAGGCAAAGGCTCCATGAGACCTGTGAGCAGAGAACTAGTGGGACTAGGGACTAGGCACCTTTCTCACAGTACCCCTGGCTATCCCCAGTTCCCTTCACTGATTTTTTCCCCTTTGGGATTTCCTAGCCCATGTCCAAGTCTCACTTACAGGCCAGCTGTGAGTGTGGCAATTTTCTGGAGCCTCCCCTTCACTACGTGGCCTAGTGGACCCTATGTTGGAGGAACTATGGGCCCTTCAAGGCCCTGTGAGAATCCACTGGGCCCATCTCAGACCCAGGTACTTGGTGGACAGGTGTCCCTATCTTTTTTGAATGAATGAAGCGCCTCCCACTCTGGCAGCCCACCTTCAGTCAGAAAGTAGGTCTCGTCCTCCAGGACATGATCTGGCAGGATTTTGCTTGGGGAGCTGAAGAGGGAAGAGCTGAGTCCTAAGATCTCACTCAGGTAGTTCGTCCCATGCCAGGTATTGCTCTGGGAAGACTCCGAGGCCAGTGGGCTTCCTAAAAGGAACATGGCACTCAGGAGTGTGGTCAACCCCCAGTGCAGCAGCAGGTTTTGAGGGGATAGTGTCAGACACTGGGGAAAGAAGACTACCATTCAGAGTCGTGGAGGTAGAGGAAATTAAGAGACACATTGCCTGGCAATACAGCAACAAAAAAGGAAAGATCATTGTTACAGTGTGTCAAAGCCAGCAGCCTGATTGCAGTAACCCATAGCTCTGTTTAAAAGTTCTATAGTGGCTGGCTCATGAAAATAGGGATTGATTAGCAAAGTCTGGCATAGCAATCGGGGGCAGAGTGATAATAAGCCTAGTATGTTTGCTATCCCTGTGCCTAGCAGATCCCCAACCTTCTTCCTGCTTTTCTCTGCCATAGAAACCCTTTGGAGAGGAAGGTTCAGAAGGCTCACAGCCTACAAGAAGAGGAGTTGTAATCACCATTGGGGCTGTCTTCTGAGGTCCACGCAGGAAGCCAAGGGTCAGTGTCTGGGGTTTCTTTGTGTGTCTCACTGGAAGTACACAAGAATAGCTTCTGCCTGTGAGAGCTGGAGTCATAGGAAGACACATAGCCCCGGGATGAACTCAGCTGTGATTGTGGAGCTCACATGGGCCACTCCATGCAACCCCAGGGGATTTAATCAGTCTTTAGGGGAAATGAGTTGGTAAGCAGACGCTGACACAGAGGGGACTCCACGGAGGAAGTGTTCCAGGGAAGACCAGAGGGCACATCGGAAAGGGTAGTTTCCCAGGTAAATCAGAGATGCAGATGCTCCAAGTAGAGGGACCAGAGCAGCAAACTCAGAGCAGGTAGTGTGAAGACTGGAGAAGATTTGTGCTGCTTAGTGGAAGGCTCATGGTAAAGGCAAGAGAGGGCTGACATGGCGAGAGAGGTCACATTCTCCAATGCCAAGGAAGAGGTTTGGGCTGTACCTTGGATCAGCCCCACTGATACAGTCACGGTCTGTAGTAGAGAAGCCCTCAATGGATGAGAATAGGCTGGGATGGGGAAAGAGGCAAGAAGATCAACGGGTAACAATCCAGACCTTCATGGGAGTCTGCACCAGCCAGCACACAACTGGACCTAGGGTGCCATTTAGGGGACTCTGGCAGAGAATGTAAATCAATCTCTCACACTCCACAGATACCTCAGCCCCAGCCACTGACACCCCAGGGTGTCCTTACCTGAGATAGGGCTCTGCTCTGGTGAGGAAACAGGACCTCTGATCTCTGCTCTGAGCCTTGATGTCAGTGTCAAGCTCACCATCCTGGGTCCCTGCACCATAATCACCTGGAGGAGGGGTGTCAGAATAAGGTGACTATGACTGTATATGGGCTAGATTCCAAGGCCCCAAGACAGGGAGAAGGAAGGGGACCAGACTCTGCCACCAGTCTTCTTCCTCCTAGACCCAAACAAGAGCCCAAGTCATCGCAGCACTTACTCACACTTCTGTCTATCAGAAGCTGCACTGACGATCATCAGATCCTTAACATGGAATAACAATGCCATGACAATAGGGATGGCCACAAGTGTGGCTGGCCCTGACCTACCCCTGCACATCTTTTACTGAAGTACAACGCAGTAGACCCCAATGGGTTGTCCCAGTCACTGCTACATGAATGTCTAGCCCAAGTCATATAACTAGCAGGAAGGTGACGCAGCTCTGGGACCAAGGCATTCTATCACCTCAGAAATTCTGGAGGCCCAAGAAATGTGGGTGATTCCATCACTGGACTGAGAATTTTGTCACTACTGTGTCACAAGCACCAACAAGTTATGGTCTGGCCTAGAGGAGGTGCGTGAACAATAGGGAGCATGATGGAGAACTGGGCACTCTGAGGCCTCAGAGCTGGTGCAAGGCCAAGGCTTGCATTCCTGTCGCTCTTCTGTCCTTTTTAGGGAATTCCACCCCTACTCCCCTCTGGTACAGTGACAGGGCCAAGTGACAGTCTGGCTTCTTCAGAGAAGCCCAGTAGGCATATGCTCCCCCATCCCCAGGCTTGAGACCTGAAGCTTACACACAGGGTGACCTGATCCTGCCCCTCCCTTATAGTCCCCTACACAAGAAAGGAAAGCTGTGGGTGAAGCCCCATGACAAGAGACGCAGTGTCATCCCGCTCTGTGATGTATGCCTTGTTGCTAGGACTGTCCAGGAGGAAATCTGTGAAGAAGCACACAAATACACACAAATACATGTACACACACAGTGGGGGGCAGAGAAGAACACATGCAAATAAAACAGTAAGTTCCTGCTGAGGAAAGGCACCAACTTATGATGTCATAGGCAACAATATTCTGAGCCATGTCCAAGTACACCAGCTGGGCCCCTCCTCCATCACTTTCTGACAGGGATAGTGCAGATGTGGGGTGGGTGCCAGGGCTGAAGTCTCTTGGGTAGGTGGCACCTTCCCTGTTTCTTCTTTCTGACCTGGCTATGCAGTGACCAAATTTTCAGGCTGATTCAAAGCCAGAGAGCGGCGAGGCTTCTGGGGCCAGGTTGGGCGCTCTGAGAGAATAGAGACAGAGTCAGGGGGCTTGGTGAGGACACTGGGATGCCTCAGAATTTGGCCCAAGGAGAGAACTGTTCTGTTCTGGACTGTCACATTCCAGAGCACTGCCTGGCTTGGCCACTTACCAGCACCCCAGGTGTGCCCAGCTCCTCAAGTGGAGCTTACTGAGCCAATTCGGTCTACGTAACTCTGAGCTTTAACAGCATGATGCATAGCTGGTGTGATATTCCACACCCTAAAGACACCAGCTTTCTGGGTGTATGGTACACATTTAGGAAGTTTCTAAGTACCTGAAGTAATTCCAATGTGCAGCCATGGATCTTCCTTCAACTCTGTCTCCTCTATGCCCTAGTTCAAGGACAGGAAATGATAACAGCAGCATCCTCCTTGGGCCTTGCCAGTACATCTGATATAAGCACAGCCTGGCAATGTCTGCCAGGGCTTTTCTGTAACCTTGAGAGGACATGAACTGGTAACTGTCCCAGTGAGGAAGAAATGAAGGTCCAGAGGAAAGCATGCCACCCTAGACCTCAGCACCCCCTAGGAAGGCACAGACTGGCAAGGCCTAGCTCATTGTGTCCCTACAGGAGGAAACTATGCTACATCAGCAGCTCCCTGTCCTGCCACATGTACCTGACACTCGGGTGAACTTCTTTCGAGGTCTGGAGCAGGTGCCCCAAAGGTGCGACTTCTGATAGCTGGAGGGAGTGGAGTGTCTGCTGGGTTGGGCCGGCAGATGGGTTCCGACCCAGCCCTGGGAGTGGAGAAGGGGGCAGATCAGAGCCCACTCTCCATCCTGGACATCGTTTTCCTCCCAGACAAGGCTTTCCAACCCTGGAGGTGGGAAGGTTTTCAGACAGGCTTTACAAATAAGGAAACTGAGGTCTATGGCTGCACAGCCATGAGGTCAAACACAGGGACATAGGTGTGTCATCCCAGCATTTGGTAGGCTGAGGCAGAAGGGTTACTGCAAGTTCAAGGTCAGTCTGGGCTCCACGGAAAGACTGTCTCAATAACAAAACAACAAAGAAGAAGAGGAGGAGGAGGAGACAGAAAAATAAAAACAAAAGTAAATTAATCTGAGCAGGATATTTTCTGGTTCAGTCTTCTAATATTTCTCATCTCTACCCCTCTGCTCTGCCCTACAGACCTCTTCCCCCTGCTCTGGCCTTTGTGCCCCCAGCCTCTTCTTCCTGCCCTAGTATTTCACACCAGCCACTGTACAGTGCTGGGTAGCTGTAAGCTGTAACCACCATGTTGTTTCTCTGTTTTAATACATTTGATTCCCATAGCACACAAAAGAGGGAAGTTCTGTGGGGATCCCAATTTACAGATTGTAGAACTGAAGCCCAGAGAAGCTATGGTCATGGCAGAGTCTGAATCAGGATCTGGCTTGGAAAAGACATGCATCAACCCGCTCAGAGCTGTATCTTCTCCAGCCACATCTCCTGCCTGTCCCTAAACATTCTATGGTTCCTCACGCCCACATGCTCTTTGGTCAGAGTGGTTCTGCAGTTTGGCAGGGTGCTGTCCTTGAAGGCCAAGCTCTCTGGCTTCCTTCTCCAAACTCCAAAACACAGTGTCCATGTTTTGCTTTGTTTCCTTGAGACTGGGTCTTGCTCTGTAGGCTACGCTGGACTGGAACTCACTACGTGGCCTAGGTTGGCCTCTGGATGCTGGAGTAACAAGTATGAGCCATCACATGAGGCTCTCCTGCAGCACCTTGCTTACCTCTCTGCTGTAGACACTTCCCTCAAGAAGGAGAAGACGGCCGATCAGTTTCCCTGACAGCCAGGAAAGCATGTTGGAGGTGGAACTGCTTACCCACAAATCCACCTTTGCTATCGCTGTTGTGGAGCTTGAGCAAAGCCTGGACCACATCAATGCATCTCTGGAGGTAGTGGATGTAGTGCAGGACACGCAGCAGGATCTCCTTCTGCACAGAGACAGGGTGGAGAGTGGGGCACCTTGCCCACCTGACCTCTTGACTCCATAAGAGGCAGAGGTAGCAGGATTGTGAGTTGGAAGCCAGTCTAGGGTGCAGTCTGTAAGACCCTGACTCGTATAAGCTTCAGGGCCCAGAACAGTGCGAGACTCCTGGGAACAGAGACAGGAAGTACCTCACAGCCTACCCTCCACACATACCCTAGTAGGCTTATTGGCAGAGACTCACCTATTCTGCTGTCTAGCCCTACCCTGTCCTAGAAAGCCAACTGAAGACTGAGGCTGAACACTAATGGGGTTTGGAAACCTCAGGAGGCAGAGCTGGAATCTGACCAGGGCAGCCTGCCTCCTGGTCCCAGTTACTGGCATATACTCCTCAGCTTCTGGCCCCAAGCCTTTTGCTCATACTTACCTCCCAATCTGGGTCCCCCCTTCTTTCCTCTTCTCCCCACAAGCCCCCTCACCTGCCTGCTCCTCCTCTGAACTTCAGCATGGCCCCCTTCTCTTCTGACCATCTGGCCTAGGCGGGTTCAGCTTCCCACATTCCAGTGCTTTGTAATAGCCTGGACAGAAAGCTTTCTGCTTTCTGTCGCCATGTTCTTCTCTCCCTTTGACCTTGAGCTAGCTGAGGCAAGACTTTAGCTAACTTATTTTTATATTGCAAAGGCAGATATGGAGAGGTGGCTCATCCAGGGGCTTTTAAAGAAGTAGATTTCTCATAGCAATCAGCAGGGTGCTTCCGGCCAGTGGGCAGACACCACCTGCCTCACCAATGCCACTAAATACCTCCTGAACTGCTGCGGAAGACACAAAACTAAAAACCAAGATAAAAATCATCAGCCAAAGCCGGGCGGTGGTGGTGCATGCCTTTAATGCCAGCACTTGGGAGGCAGAGGCAGGCGGATCTCTGTGAGTTCGAGACCAGCCTGGTCTACAAAAGCTAGTTCCAGGACAGGCTCCAAAACCACAGAGAAACCCTGTCTCGAAAAAACAAACCAACAAAAAAATCATCAGCCAAACATGCTGGAACACTCCTGTAATCCCAGTACTCAGAAATCTGAGGCAGGAGGATTGTGTATTCCAGGACAATACAGGCTATATAGCAAGACCACATAGAAACAGAGACAAGAAGACTGAGAGAGAGAACACCTCCTGCCACCCACCCTTCCAGACACATGTGCACCACACACACTCTCTCTCTCTCACATCATTTTTCTTAGTCAATGTTTGAATGAGATTGTCTTCAAGGGAGTCTCAAGGGACTGAAAAAGAAAAGTGCACTCAGGAGGTAGATCTCTGACTTTGAGCCCAGCCTGGTATACAGAGCAAGTCCCAGGACAGCCAAGGCTAAACAGTGAAGTCCTATCTCAAAACAAAACAAAACAAAACAAAACAACAATAAAAAAAAGAAATGAAAGGAAAAGAAAGAGAACAAAGCTGTGAGTGGAGCACTGAGCAGGTGTGTCTCTTAGACTGGCACTGAAGTCTTTATAGCTGTGAAGGGCTGTACACACATGCTCCATGCAGAGGTGGTTAGGTTCCATCCCTGATTTCAAAATAGAAGGCTGTTTCTGTTTTTCTGTTTTGTTTATGGAGAAAGTCTCACTGTGTACCTCAGGCTGGCCTCAAACTTGTGATCCTCCTGCTTAGCCTCCAAGTGTTGGAATTATAGACATGGGCTCCATACCCAGCTAGAAGGCTCAGTTTTGTTACTTTAGTAACATGACCTGGCAGCTACAACTAGAAGGTGAAACTTCAGAGACCATTTCAAGCTCTAATAGGTCTTAAAACTGTCACAACAGAGAAGTCATCCAACAAACATCTACTGAACACTGAGTGACTGAATGACTGAAGGCTTTTAGGATGATGTATTCTCATCCATTCTCGTTCCCTCTCTCTCCCCACAATCTCTCTCTCTTACCTCCTTGCCCCTTGGGTATTTCTAGGCAATCTGTTCCTTTAGGAATTTATTTTTAATTGAACACATAGGTTTTTGTTGCTGTTGTTGTGTTGTTCTGTTTTTTTTTTTTAAAAAAAAAAAACAGTATCTCACTATGTAACTCTGACTGTCTATGTAGACCAGGCTAGCCTTGAACCCACAGCGATTTACTTGCTTCTACCTTTGAGTGCTGGGATTAAAGGTGTGTGCCACTATACCTGGCCTTCTTCATGATTTCTTTCTTTCGTTTTTTTTTTAAAGATTTATTTATTTATTATGTATACAGTGTTCTGTTTGTATGCTTGCTGGCCGGAAGAGGGCAGATGACTGTGAGCCACCATGTGGTTGCTGGGAATTGAACTCAGGACCTCTGAAAGAGCAGTCAGTGCTCTTTACCTCTGAGTCTTCTCTCCAGCCCTCTTCATGATTTCTTAAACCAAAGGGTGAGCATGTCTAGGGGCTAGAGAGTTGGTTCTGCAGTTAAGAGCATTTGCTGCTCTAGCAGAGGACCTGGGTTTGTTTTCCAACACTGATAGGGGGGCTCACAACTCTCTGTAGCTCTTATGCCAGCTGATCTGACAGCATCTCCTGACCTTCACAGGTGCCAGGAACACACGTGGTATACATACATGCATTCAGTCAAAACATTCATACATATAAAATAGAATAAATAGACATAAAAAAGCTTTTTTTTTAAGTGAGCATATTGCCAGGTGTGGAAGCCCACACCTTTAATCCTAGCACTCAGGAGGCAGAGATAGGTAGATCTCTGAGTTTGAGGCCAGCCTGGTCTACACAGGGAGTTTCAGGACAGCCAGGGCTACACAAAGAATCCCTGTTCCAACAGACCCCCCAAAAAAACGCATGTCCATACATCTCTCACAGCCTTGCTAGGTGTGGTGGCATAGGCCTATAATCACAACACCAGAAGCTGAGGATTGCTATTTGTTTGAGGCCACTCTGGGCTATAAAGCAAGTACCAAGCCAAGTAGGACTACATAGTAAGACCTTGTCTCAAACTGTAAAAAGAAGGTAAGCCTGTGAGATGGCTTAGCAGGGAAAGGCACCTGCCTGACATCCTGCATTCGGTCCCTCCAGTCCATAGGAGAGAACTGACTCCCACAATTGTGTCATGATATTTGCACCAATTACTTAAAACTTTAAAGATGGAGGCATATTTAAGATATTCAATATTTGATGTCTGAGTCCAGGAATTCACAGTAAACTGGGAACAACAGTGATCAATCAATATCTGCTCTAGGCTGGATGCTAGGAGTAGAGTCATCCTTTGGAGTCTTTGCCCTGGATTGGAAAGTCAGTGGCCCAGAGAGAGTGGGGGGGGGGCAGGGGTCCTGAGCAGAGGAGAGGATACATGGTAGAGAAGTCAGCTGAATGGGCTAGTGAGGGCAAACCAATGAGTCAGAGGGTGAAAGTACTTGGTGTACAGGCCTGATGAGCTGAGCTCCATCCCCAGATTCCACTGTGAAGGAGAGAACTGACTCCCAAAAATTGTTCTTTGGCCTCTGTAAACATGCCAAGACATGTTTCCCCCTTTCTCTCTCTCACACACATTAATGTTTTTTTTTAAAACAGAAAGTAGGCCAGGCATGGTAGTGCACAGCTTTAATCCCAGCACTCAGGAAGCAGAAGTAAATGAATCTCTGAATTCAAGACCAACCTGGTCTACAGAGAGAGTTCCAGATCATCCAGGGACACACAGAGAAGCCCTATCTTGAAAAACCAAAAATAAATAAATAAATACATTAATAAAACAAAACAAAACAGAGAGAAGTAGAAGGAAACCAGGCCTAATAATACAGGCTCATAATCCTAGCCACTCAGGAGGAAGACACAAAGGATTCCAAGTTAAGGCCAGCCAAGGTCAGGCTAGCAGCTTAGTAAGATCTTGTCTAAGGAATAAGTATAGTTCAGTGAAGAGTATTTATATAGTATGTATAAGGCCCTAGTTCTAATGGATCATCAGATAAAAGCTCTAGCTGATCTTCTGGAGGGCTCAGGTTTGATTCCAAGCACCCAAGGGTGGCTCATAACCACATCCAGGGGATCCAACACCTTCTTCTGTTACTGTCACACATGCAGGGAAAACACCCGTGTACATAAAAAATTAAAATAATTTAAAGATTAAAAAAAAGTAGACAGCCTTAGAGATAATTCCAAAGGAGATGACCATCTTGTACATTATAAAATGCTAGACTCATTTCTTGAGGACAAGAACTGTGTCTGTCTCTTCCCTAGTTTCCCAGAAACCTGTGATAGTACCTATACATAGCAAATATGCACTTGCTTGAGGACATAGAAAAATCCCCCCATAGTCACATCCTAGTCCCAAAGGCAGCCACATCCTAGTTCCATGCCTGTGAATAGGCTGCCTTATAGGGCAAGGGGACTTTACAGATGTCACTGAGTTAAGGATCTGGAGATGGAGAGATTACTTGAGATTACCCACGTGAGTCTGGTGTAGTCATGAGGATCTTTGTAAGAGGGAGGCAGGAGGGTCAAAGGTGGGGAGACCATATGAGAACAAAGAAGCACTGAAGAGACTTTGTTGATAGTTTGCAAGCAATGTGAGGCCTTTGCAAATTGCCAAAGGAAAAGAAATGAATTCTCCCGAGTCTGTCTGTCTCTCTCTCTGAACCCAGGGCCTTCTGTGTCCAAGGCAAGCCTCTACCACTGAGAACCCTCCCCAGTCCTCTATTTTACATTTGTATTTTGAAACAAGGTCTCACTAAGCTGTCCATGCTGTTTTGAACTCACTCTGTAGCCCAGACAGGCCTTGAACTTGCAGTTCTCTTGCCTCAGCCTCCCAGGTGCCAGAATGAAAGGCGTGTATAACTAGGCCACACTTTTTATCTTCCCTGTGCACTTTACCCCCATCCTCAAGGATGAAATCTAGAACCTTGCACAAGTCAGACAAGAACTCTGTTGCTAAACTACAGGTCTTTCAGTACTGTTTAGGAACAGAACTTATATTTCCTTTGTTTTTTTGAGACAGAGTTTCTCTGTGTATCCCTAGAAGTCCTTAAACTCACTCTATAGACCAGGTTGCCCTTAAACTCCCAGAGATCACCTGTCTCTGCTTACTGAGTGCTGGGATTTAAACCCTGTCCCGCCAGGCCTGGCTTACTCTTTCCTTTTTTTAACTGAGAACCTGGGGCTGAGAGAGACTGAGGAGTCTCAGACAGCAGCTGTGAGACCTGGAAGGCTCCTGCTCTGCTGTGTGACCTCTGCTTCTACTTTTCCTCTCCTAGTTCCCTTTCCTCTTTCTCTGTGTATGTGCATGTTCATGTGGGTGCCAGTGTGCACATGCATGTAGAGGTCAGAGGTCATCTTCAGTGTCATTCCTCAGAGGCTGTCCACTGTCAGGTTTTTTTTTTCCTTTCTTATTTTTTTTTTAATTTTCTTTTATTTTTGGAAACAGGGTCTCTCAATGTGACCTGGGTCACTGGCAGATTAGTCTAGGTTGGTTGACCAATACAAGTATGCACTAAGACACCTCATGGATGCATGGCTTTCTGTGGGTTCTGGGACTGGCGCTAAGGTTCTCATGCTTGAGTAATGAGTGCTGACTGTGCTGTCTCCAGCCCCTGCTCCACCTACCTCACCTCTTATCCTGAAAGAATCCCGCAGGGCTGGGGGTATAGCTCAGTGGCACAGAATTTCCTGACCTTGGGCAAGGAACTGGCTTAAGAAAAAAAATTCTGGTGGGATCATGAACTCCCAGAAATTCCTGCTCAGAGCTAGACCACCCCTGTTTCAAGTCCGTCACTGAGAGAGCCTGCATGGATTTCCCAAGTGAGGCCCGCACTTATTGCTCAGACATCCTTCCTCCCTCCTGCCTCATCTCCTTTGGTCCCCACACCTTGGTATGCTTCTTGTTTCTGATCGACATGGTCACAGGGATCAGCAGGGCCAGTTCTCGAAGCTTGTTTGTGTGGTTCTTCTTATCCTTCCTGTTTGGGGATGAGAGCCAGTTTTGGTTAAGACGTCTAAAATTAAACCTAGCTTTTGGAGACAAGGTAATGTGATCATATTGCCTCAGCCTCTCAAGTGCTAACATTCTAGGCATGAGCCACCCATCTAGCTTTAAAGGTTTGCCATCTGCCCCCAAACCGTTGGTCTAATACCAAGGCTACATGAGACCTTGTCTCAATAAACAAACAAATAAATAAATACCCCCCCAAAAAACCCTAAAGAATTAGCAGTAATACAGGAGATAGTGATGCATGCTTTTAATCCCAGTACTTGGGAGGCAGAGGCAGGTGGATCTCTGTGAGTTTGAGGCTAGCCTGGTTTACAAAGTGAGTTCCAAGCCAGTCAGAGCTACACAGAGAAACCCTGTCTCGAAAAACCAACTATATCTTTTTCATCCATTCATTCAGCAATTAGTTAGTGAGCATCCACTCTGTGGCAGAAATTGTGAGGACAGGGCAAGAGTATAAAGAGCAAATAGTTCTTCTGGAGCTGAGGGTATAGCTGGAGTAAGGACCTCAACCACAGTTACACAAACATAAAACAGCAACTCAGATCAGAATGAGGGGTTCACTACAAATGAAAATGTGGGGTCACTTGCTGAATAATTAAGATCTTCAAGATTAAGAAAGCAAATCATTAAACTTATCATTTAGGTCTTTTTATTCTATGTGTGTATGTGTTAGTTTTGGAGACAGGGTCTCTCAGTAAACCTGAAACTCGCAGAAATAGTTAGGCTGCCTGGCCTAATCTCAAAGCCCTAGCTCCATCTCCCCTGCACTTGTTTGTATTTGTGGGTGCTAGAGATCTCATCTCATATCCTTAACCTTGCATGCCAAGCACTGTACTAATCCAGCCACCCAGCACCCAATTGTTGGAAATTTTAAACACTAGGCCCTGTGTGAATGACTGCACAAGTCAAACACCCATCAAGGCTGGCTCTGATGGCAGGTAAAGGAGAGGTGCTGTTTGGTTGTAAATGTTGTAATAGCAGGTTTTGACCTACAAAATAAGGGGTTGTGACCTAGAACTCCAGACTAACCAGTGAGGTCTTTTCCTTTGGAACTAAATCTGGCGAGAACCTAGTCTAGAGGATAAGAGCGGGTGAGAAGAAACAGAAAATACTCCAGACAGAGGAAACATATGCAAAGGGCTTGTGGCATAAAGGAGTAGGGGGAACTCAAGAAAAATAAAACCCAAGCACTGGAGCTCAGCAAGCAAAAGGGACAAGGCTGGAGGAGGCATCTTGGGTGAAACAGAGACCTGTAGGATTACAGTACAAAGGAGTTTTATCTCCATTCTAAGATCTATGAAAAGCACTTAAAGGGCTTCCTGTAGTAGACAGCACCCTTAGTTCACGTCTTCAAATGCTGGTGAACACAGAGACCACACACACTAGTCATCTCAATTGAAGAATGAAGAAGAAAAGATCATAAATGGTTTCCAAGTGACCTCTTCACTGATTGCCATTTTGAGGCGTGCTGTCCTTGGGCACATTGTGCAACCTAGGATGGCCTCAAATTCCTGGGCTCACATGACCTTCTGCCTTGGCCTCCTCGGTAGCTGAGACCAGTAGTGTGTTCAGGGTTTTCATTATTATCTTAGCCAAACCAAATTTTCTTCTTTTCTTTTCTTTTCTTTTCTTTTCTTTTCTCTTCTCTTCTCTTCTCTTCTTTTCTTTTCTTTTCTTTTCTTTTCTTTTCTTTTCGAGACAGGGTCTGTTATAGATAGCTTAGGTTGGCTTTGAGTTTCTCTATGTAGTGAAAGGTGGCCTTGAACTACTACTACTTCTTCCTTTTTTTCTTTGAGAAAGGGTTTCTCTGTGTAACCCCAGTTGTCCTGGAATTTGCTCTGTAGATCAAGCTGTAAGACCTGGAACTCACAGAAATCTGCCTGCTTCTGCCTCCTGAGTGCTGGGATTAAAGGCGTGCACACCACTACCCAGAGGACTTTATTTTGAAAGAAAAACTGGTGTTTGATCAGCACACATAAACCCCTGGTTCAATTCTCAATACTGAAAACAAAAAATAAATATAATAAGTAAATCCTCTAAATCGCCAATTGCTAGTCCTGTTATTTACCTATTTATGCATGTGTGCAATACCTGAGTGTGTAAATCCAATGTCTTCCTGAGTCACTCCCCACTTATGTTTTCAGACAGTCTCCTTCTCAAACTGGAGCTCACTGGTGTAGCTGGACTGGCTGGTCAGTAAGGCCCGTAAGAATCATCCTGTCTCTCCCTCCCCCGTGCTGAGATTATAGGCACGTGCTGCTGCACGTCTTCTCCACGTGGGTCCAGGAGATCAGAATCACACCCTCACGCTTTGCATGGCAAGCACTTTGTCCGCTGAGCTATCTTTCTGATCTTATTTATTTACTTGCATGGTTTGCACCTATAATCCCAGCACTTGAGAGTGTATGGCAGGAGGACTCTAATGAATTTAAGACCAACCTAGGATAGAACTACAGCTTGTCTCAAAAAAAATAAAACTGATAAAAAAGAGGGTACAATCATTTCTCAGAAAGTGTTAGGGGTAAGGGATGGTAGATGATGAGACACATAGATTATTGAATGACTTGTTGATAATTGCTGGTTTTGCTTCACCAATATCCCATTCCCCTTCCCTGAAAATAGTACCTCAATTGTCCTTTGGGAAGCCTCTTTACTCTCTGTTCAAGTTTTCCAGAGAAACTGACCCTATTTTCCCCTTTAAAAAGGAGCACAGAACCAAGGTATATCTAAGAAGTTAGCATGATGGACTCAATAAATCTTGAAAAGAGCCTCTTTGGGATGATCCAGCAGGCAGGATATGGATTGAGCAGCTAGGAGTCATCTTGCCCTCCCCTAAAGAGAGTCTGCTTGATAAGAAAGATAGAGCCAAGGCAAGCAGAGCCCTATCAACACCATTCAACCCTTGTCTGGGACTAGCCATGCCCTGGTGCCCCTAAATTTTTGTTTAAATGATCCAGCAAATACCCTTTTATACCTAAGCTAGTTTTCTACCCACTGCAACCAAGAGTCTTTTATTGTAAAGATTCCTCATCTACAAAGGGGGTCTACAAAGATTCCCTCATCTACAAAGAGTCTACACTGTTGATTACTAAGGTTCCAGGAAGCTAAGCTACAGAATACATGATTCTTCATTTTCTTCATGGTGCTCCTTCTGAGCAGTACCTACTACACAGAGGACCAGAGCAAGGAGGTGCTTAACTGTGAGGTGCTTAATAAATGAATGAGGGTTGAATTGACATCCATTAAGGGGAAGACAGTACAGGGAAAGATGAACTTCGACTGCTTTTAATTTGTCCAGGCTGGATGGATGGAGAGGAATCCAATCCAACTCTCAATCTGCTATATGAATCCCCTTTTCAAATTCCTACAGCTCAGTGGTAAAGGGTTGCCTATCACGTACGTGGTCCTGAAGGCTGTTTCAGTATTTCCTCTCACCCCACAACACCCAAAAGATCCCTAACATTTTATTAGTGCTTTACAGGTGGATGAATAACCAAAAAATTAGAGGGGCTGGAGAGATGGCTCAGCAATTAACAGCATTTGCTGCTCTTACAGAGACTCCAGGTTGCAATCCCAGCATCCACAAAATGGCTCACAGCACTTGTAATGCCAGGTCTAGGGTGATCTGGTGCCTTCTCCTGGCCCCCACAGGCAGTGCATGCATAAAACAAAAAATTAAAAAAGAAAAGAGGGTCAGAATGGAAGCTGTGGATATAGTATAGTGATTTAAAAAAAATTCCTTAGTACCTCACACCACAAGATCCTGGATTCATACCCAATACTGGAAAAACAAACAAACAAACAAACAAACAGAAAAACCCAGGAACATCAATGCCTGAAATCAACTCAGAACCCTCTCTGAGAAATGGCGGGAATATTCGCCTCTGTTTCTTTGTCAAGGTTGCTGCAATGGTTAGTAGAAACAATTAAAGGGCTAAACAAACAATCTGGAAACAGTGTTTAGTAGCATTGTTTTGTTACTATTATTCTATTCAAACCAAGCTGCTAAACCGAGGAGGGGAAAACTATTACCTGTCAGAAGGACTCAAAGAACTATCTCTGAGCTCATCAGGAAAAATGAAGTATCTGCCGGAACCCAACATCTGCAGAGGGAAACAAACCGTTAGTGCTCTTCAGGACTCCAGAATGAATGGGGCAAATGGTGCACACCCTTCCCCACCCCCATGGTGTATCTTTAAAAGCACCCGAAAAAAGATCCTAAAATAAGACATAACTATGGGCACAAGAATCTAAATTAAAACTATAAACTCTAAATAGAGGAATACAAATTCCAAATGATAAATTTAAGCTCCTAAAATTTGGATCTAAAACTAAACCCAGCAAATTCCCAGACATTGATCTCAGAATTTAGACATCAATAATGGAATGCCAAAGTCTGAAATACAAACTGTCCAGTCTGAAAACTGTGGCTTGAGACCTCTAGAAGAGTGGGTTGGGGCTGGGACACAGTCTGTCTGTGTAGCTCTGGCTGTCCTAGAATTCACTATGTAGATCAGGCTGCACTTGTACTCACAGAGATTCACCTGGCTCTACTCCTCCCAGTTACATGGTGATATTAATAGATGAAAACTGACTTTAAAATCCCAAAGTGAGAACTGGATAAATGGATTTATGGTTAAGAGCACTGACTGCTTTTCCAGGGGATTTGGATTTGGTTCCTAGCACCCACAGCATAGTGTCTCACAACTATCTCTAGCTCAAGTTCTAGGGGGTCTAATATCTTCTTGTGACCTACCCCAGCAACTCTATGTATGTATGCATACATGGATCCATGCAGGCAAAACACTTACACAAAAAAATTAACCCCAAAGTGAACCAGGCTTGGCAGTTTCACACCTTTAATATCAGGACCCAGAGGCTGGGTGGTGGTGGTGCATGCCTTTAATCCCAGCACTCGGGAGGCAGAGGCAGGGGGATCTCTGGGAGTTCGAGGCCAGCCTGGTCTACAAGAGCTAGTTCCGGGACAGGCACCAAAGTTACAGAGAAACCCTGTCTCGAAAAAAAAAAACAAAACAAAACAACAACAACAACAACAACAAAATATATATATCAGGACCCAGGAAGCAGAAGCAGATTTCTCTGAGTTCCAGGCCATAGTGAGACCCTCTCTCAATCTCAAATAACAACAAACAGACAGACCAAAAAAAAAAAAAAAAATAAAAAATAAAAAAATAAAAAAAAATAAATATATATATATAGATAGAGAGAGAGAGAGAGAGAGAGAGAGAGAGAGAGAAGACCAATAAATAAATTCCAATGTGAGGGCTAAATCCCCCAAAGGTGCTTCCAAACCTTTAAACCCTGAAAATCTGATACTGAAATACTGGATTGCAAACTGTTGACTATTGACCCTCAAATAGGACCCTAAGCCTAATACCAAGATCACAAACCACAAACTTTTTTCTTGACAGGGTCTCTCCATATTCTAGCTCAGGCGTATGTAGTGCAGACTGGACTCCAACTTAACAAGATTGTATGTGTGATTTACCACAGTCAGCTCAAATCACAAGTCTTAATGCTGAAAAGCCCAAATTCGATAGGAAGACTATCCAGGATTCTTTAAAATTAACCTCAACCCCACCCCACCCCCGAAAAGTATTTCATGTCCTACAATAAATATCTGCAGACTCCAAAACTATCCTTTCAGATCCTCAAATTGTTATCTTCTTAGAAAAACCTAGATCTCGAGCCAGACGTTGGTGACATAGGCCTTTAATCCCAGTGCTCGGGAGGCAGAGGCAGGGGAATCTCTGTGAGTTAAGGCTAGCCTGGTCTACACAGAGAGTTCCAGGACAGGCTCCAAAGCTACACAGAGAAACTCTGTCTCGAAAAACGAAAAAAAAGAAGAAGAAGAAGAAGAAGAAGAAGAAGAAAGAAAGAAAGAAAGAAAGAAAGAAAGAAAGAAAGAAAGAAAGGGAAGAAAGAAAAAGAAAACGAGCGCTTCTACTGGAATCTAGAACCCCAAACTGGTGCCTCTATTCAATGCATAGGAGGACAACTCTAGGCCTTAAAACGAGTTCTCAAAGACCCAAACTGTGCCCAACCCAAGATCCTACTTTCATACCTCAATAGACTCCATTGAGACCGGAAACACCTCAAATTAGATCTCTGACTCTCCAGATGTGAACTCTGGAACCTCAAATTAAGATTCCCAGACCTCCTGCCTTCAGATTCCAAAAGCCGAGCCTCGAGCCTCGAACAGGAGACTCCACATCTCCAGCGCCACTCAGAAAGAACTTTCTAGAAATCCAGATTCAGCCCACCCACACACACACACCTAGGCCTAGCCTCACACCTGCTTCAGCTCTGTGGTCCTGCTCCACTCTATCCCGAAGAAGGCCACCGCCACAAGGTGCGACTCTGGGCACTCCAGGTTCCCCCCTACCCCCGCCAGCTAGTGCCCGGGCATCCACCGCCCCACACCCTTTGGTCACCAACACCTGCCTCAAGACTTGCAAATGGCGTTAAGGCTCCACTTCTACCTTGACGCTGGACCCACTCTTGGGCAGCCCAATGGTGATGACAATGGCTGTCGCAGGTCCCAGGGATGCCAACCCACGAGGCGCAGGCTGAGCGAGGAATGGCAGGGCGCGAGGCTGACGCGCGAATTCGCTCCTGAGTCGAGGCCACGCCCCTCCACGTTCCCGCCACGCGGTGCCAGGCAGAGAGGGCGGTAGAAAAGGGCTGTGCAGCGAGGGCCCATGCGCATGCGCACCTGAGGAAGGACAACATCGCAGCTCCGCACGTGCTCCAGCTCCCGCGCTCAGAGTGCCAGCCAATCAGCTCTCGCTCCACTACCCGCCTTTTCCTCAGGTCACGCCCCGTTGCATTGCCCCGCCCCCTGACCATTCGCCTGGGCTAGTAGCGGGACTTGTCAGGTCTCTGGAAGAGTGAGATACCAGTACTCCCCCTGCTGGCCCTCCTGTGCCCCGGTCCCGCCCTTTCCCTTCAGCGCGTGGCTAATTAAAGACCATGGTGTGCCAGGCACCTTGTTCAGGCTGGTAATTTTGCCAGCTTTCCTTGAAATAAGCCTTTGTAGACCTGAAGGAGATGCCAGTTCCTGTAAATGCAAAGTAACCTTTTACGTGTCTGTGTTTGGGTCAGGTCTTGCTATGTAACCCAGGCTTGCCTAGTACTTATGATCCTTCTGCCTCAGGGGCAAGAATGCAAGGAGTGCACCACCGCATCAGACTACAAGCTATACTATTCGTTATTTTTAACATTATGTATATTTAATATTATGTATACATGGGCGCGTGTGGCGGAGGTGTGTGCACTTCAGTGCAGGTGTCCCCAAAGGCATCAGATCCCCCTAGAGCTTGAGTTACAGACAGCTGTGAACGGTCCAGTGCGGGTGCTGGAGGCAAATCCAGGTTCTCTGCAAGAGTGATATATGCTCTTAACTGCTGAAAAAAAATCTTTCCAGGATAATTTGTTTATCCTTATTTTTTGACATAGGGTGTCATACATAACTCAGTATGTAGGTAGACCAGGCTAGCCTCAGACTCACGAAGATCTGCCAATCTCTGACTCCCGAGTGGTGGGATTAAAGGTGTGCACCACCACGGTCGTCCCGAACAGTACAATGTAAGTAAAGGCCCCTGCTGCCAATCCTCACGACCTGAAACTCATAGTGGAAGGAGCGAAATCAGCTCCCGAAAGTCGTCCTCTAGGCTTCACACCCACTCAAATAAAGAAAATAACATTCTCATATACACGAACACGGGGATTGTATGGACTCTTCAGACGTTTTCTAGCCCCCAGCAATGACAACAAGTACCTGGGGTAAACTCTCTCAGCTCACAGTACTTTCCATTCATGATATGGACAGAGGGGCTTGATCTACAGTCACCTTAACTTTTAGTAATTTAGGATTATTCTTACGAGGGTTGTCCAAAGTGGTCAAAAAGCATGAACTATTCACACAATACTATGCTAGCGCCTAACCAAGGTGCATAAATCCGTAAAGACTCCTTCCCTCTGGATGCGCTGATCTACCTGGGATATAAACCGTCTCATAGTGCCAGGGCTTTCCTCGATCCAATAACTTATTTTTCCCATTTGGGAATTAGGAGGTGGTGGTAGGTGAAAGTGGTGAGGTGCGAGATGGAGGTGAAATTCGAATGGGAGGGAAAGTCTGGGAAAACTCATTGATTGATTGATTGATTGATTGACTGATATTTTTGAGATAGAGTTTCTCTGTGTAACAGCCCTAGTTTGAACTCGCTCTGTAGACCAGGCTGGCCTCAAACTCACAGAGATGCACCTGCCTCTCCTTCCAAGTACTGGGATTAAAGGCATGAGCCACACCATATAATATTTAATAACAGCATTTAATATTGTTAAATAACATATTATAAATTGTTAAGTAAACCAATAATTTTTTTTCTTTCTCAACTCTTTATCCCTCACTAACATTCCTTTGAAGTAGCCTTAATTCCCTTTTCAAGGGCCTCGAGCCAAAATGGAGACAGCTGGACTCTATTTCCCAGAGAGCCTTGCTGGTGAATTGTCTGCGCCTGCGCAGCTGTGTGTGCCCTTTGCCTCCTGGGAATTCGAGTCGTTCTATTTCTCGGCCCGCCTAGTTTTTTTCCTACTCCGCCTCCAAGGTACCGTGCTGCATGTTGGGAGCTGTAGTCCATGTCCGCCCGTACTCCAATTCCCAGAGGGCTTCGGGACGAGAACCCGGAAGGAGAGGCTGGAGAGGAGCGAGTGGGGGAAACCCGCGTAGTCGAGCGAGCTGCAGCGCGGGGAGATGGTGAGAGCCCCAAGCTGGGTCCTGCGGGTGTTCGAGAGTATGGGCGCGGGGTTCGGGGCCTAGGTTCGAGGGGAAACAAACTGAGGCTAAAGAAAGGGCTGGGCGTGGGGAGATCGCTGTGGGTGGGGATTGAGAGGAACAGGAGCCCGAGGGAGTAGAAGAATGGGGGGCTAGGGAGGGGTCTTGGAGGTGGAGAGAGTCGAGCTTTAGAATTGACTATTAGGAGGATTCGGAGCTGGGGGAGTGAGACTCCGAGTTGGGAGTCCTGGCTGGACATCTAGTCAAGAGACCCTGAAGTGGGTAATTTCGAGAGAGGTTAGTTAG